CAGGGGTCGTATTTGAGGGAGAAGATCCTATTCTTCCACCCCTTGTTGTTCCCGGGCAGGCCTTTGATTGCGCACATATCGGCCCGGGATTGCAACATCAGGAACCCGCCTCCATAGTTGCCCGGGAGAACTTTGACCTGGTAGATGAAGTTGAACAGCTCCATCGTGCAGGCGGCTTCATGCCGAGCGCATATCTGCGGAAAGCAGGCGATGATCCGGTGCGCATTAGGGCAGATCTGGGCCGGGACGACCCGGTAGTAGGCCAGGAAGGCATTCAGGAGGGGGGTGAAGGGAATGGCGATCGGGGCCATCAGGGAGTCGTAGTGCATCCCAATCCATTTGCCCCGATGCCGATCGATGACATTCCCTAACTGCCGGCTCGTGTCAAATTCTACCCGACCCACGAGCCTTTCGGCAATCCTAGCCGCCTCGCCCTTGGTTAGCTGACTCATTTGTTGTTCGACATTCTCGCTGTTCAAGAATTCGAACTCCGCTACGGCTGGGGCGGCTGGCCCGGCCGTGTCCTCTTCGGCCGGCTCGGGAGCAGGACTCGGGTGGTCCCCAACCACCCGGGTGGGCGTTTCCCTAACGCCTTCGGTCGGGGATCCTTGTCTCCCCGACGTGGTTCCTTCTTCTTCTTCCTCGTCGGAGCTCCCCGATCCGCTTGAGCTAGAGCTCGACGACCCGGATGAGCTAGACGACGTGTCTTGTGCGGCGGCCTGCTCGGGAGCTGGCCCCGGTCGGCTGGTAGCTTCGGGGGAGTAGGACATGATGTCCACCTCCTCGTCGCTGAGGCGCTCGACCTCCTCGTCGTAATCCGCGATCGATGCGTTTTGGCTGTCAGAGTCCGTCATTTCAATCTACCTAAAGGTCGGTCGGGGTTAGTGAAGGACTTAAAGTGTCCGGGACAGTTAGTTGACCTAGCAGCTCTACCTAACATGAAAGTGTAAAGAAAGGAGAAGGGCTAGGAGCTTACCGAGTGAAGAAACTTTGAAGAGGATTTGAAGTTTTGTTTTGCTTGGTCGGATTGCTGATCTGCTGCTCGGGACTATCCGAGGGTACCGATTGCTTCAGAAGATTGAGGAAAGTTCAAATGAGGGCCTCAAGGGCCTATTTATAGGAGGACATTTAGGCGGGAAAGTCGTCCACTTGCGCGACACGACCCGCGCTGATTCCGAGGCAACGGTTGCAGTCGCAGAAGGCCGGCAGTGGCCGACACGTGGCGGAGAAAGGAATGACAGCTGGCCGGTCGGTTCAGCGGCCGATGGTTGGGTTTCTCCATCCCGGCCCATTTTTTCCCGGACGATCAAAAAGGCCCGGGCTGGGGGGCTCTTGGTAGGGAATATCCCGACCGACGTAGCTTCACCACGACCGAGGAGCCTTTGTCGCTTTCTCCTTGTCTTTGCAGGTAACAGGTCGGGCTCCACGAGAAGAACCCGGTCGTAGATCGACCGGGAGTTGCCCGAGCGACGGTGTCGACCACCGAGCGATAGCCCTTTGGCGAAAGAGCTGACGAAGGACACGTGGCGGCTCTCTACATCGACAGGCAGGGCACCCGGGAGGATGACACGTGGTAGCTACGTGGAGGGCATGCCGAACGGCTGGAATCTTGTCCCCGGCATAGCGGCTATAAATACCCACAGTAGCTACAGTGTAAGGGACTTTTGGACGATCGATAGGTTGTTGTTAGAGAATCCCGACCGCAGTCAGTCGGTACTCAGAGCAACCAAGTAGATTGTACTTAGGGCCTTTACCGCGATCAATAAAGATATTTACTTGCTTTAATTGGTCTCGTGTTGTTATATATTGCTTACGCGTAATTAGCAGTATCAGTTATGGATTTTTAGTTCATTCATTCTTTATTTTTAGTTCATTCATTCTGTATTTTTAGTTCATAGATTCTGAATTTTTAGTTTCATTGATTCTGAATTTTTAGTTCATTGATTCTGGATATATAGTTCGAATTATGAACAATATAATGTTGTTGTTGGGAATCGAAATTGATTTTTTTTAAGTGGAATGCGCGTTTTTAATAAAACAACGTCGTTTTTGCATCCGTATGCACCATGCATGGTGCATACGAATGCACAACATAATTTGCCTTATTGTGTGGACCATGGTCCGCACAAGTTGTGTGGACCATACTTTGTCTATTGTAAAATAATGTACATTCAGTAAAAAAATAATGTACATTGTATTTAGGGGATGCACATTATTTTTATTCTGAGTACATTATATTGTATAATGTACATTCAGTACAAAAATAATGTACATTTAGTATATTAAAATGTACTTTTTATTATGGTTCACATAACGTTGTGTGGACAATCGTCCACACAATAATTTGCCACTGCTAACCAACTATATTTTTTATTTTTTAGGAATAAGGTTCAAATTGGCCACTGAACGTAACCTGAAAATGCAATTAGGCCATTGAACGAAAAAAAGTGCAATTAGGCCACTGAACCCTCCAAATATATGCAATTTCACCTGATAGCAAGTTACCATCAATTTTAGCAGGTTACCTACTTATGTGGCAACTGAATTGACATTTTTAATAATTTTAAAATAATTTTTTTTTAAAAAATAAAAATAAAAAAAAATGACGGGGTGGCCTTATTTTACAAAGTTTATTTTTTAAAGATTTTTTTTTAATTTATTTTTTTTCAATTTTAAAAAAAAAATTATTATTAAAAATTATTTAAAAATGCCAACACAGCTGCCACGTAAGCAGGTAACCTGCTAAAATTGATGGTAACCTACTATCCGGTGAAATTGCATACATTTGGAATGTTCAGTGGCCTAGTTGCACGTTTTTGAAATGTTCAGTGACCTAATTACACTTTTTTTTTCGTTCAGTGCCTAATTGCATTTTCAGGTTACGTTCAGTGACCAATTTAAACCTTATTCCTATTTTTTATTATACAATGGAGAATCAATTTTGAGATTTAAAAATAAAAAATTTACACCTATATCACTAGTCTACAAGAAAACGAGACATCAAAATGCAACAAGAAACTTAACAAAAATAGATTAAGGCCCTGTTTGGTAAAATGGTTGTTAGCTGATAGTTGTTAGATGTTAGCTGATTGTGTTAATTAGAGGGTATAAATAGTTGATAACATTAGCTGATGGTAGAAAAGTGTTTGGTAAATTAGCTGTTAGCTGATAAATGTTTGGTAAAATTTTTTTTTCTCAAAAAGCTAATTGAAAATGTTGATTGGAGTAGCTTTTTGAATTTTAACCTTTTGGAGATGAAAAAGCTAATTAACCAAACATTTATATTGATATGTTAACTAAATCAAACAATTAATAGTGGTCAAATAAGCCAAAATTGACCTATAGACCAATTTTTTTACCAAAGAGGACCTAAGTCACACTCACAATACCAGCAAAAAGTAACAACTCTAAACTCTCGAGAAATTCTTGTAAACTTGCAGCTCAAGATGAGAGGGGCCATTATAATTAGCCAACTGGTGCACACATTTGTTTCTGGATGAATATGTTTTCGAAAATAACCTCATCTCAATTCATAGTTCATAATCTCTTATTTATTTCTAATAGGTCAAATTTTAGATCTCAAATCTCTTAGTATTATCAATAAACTTCACATTTTACATCGTAGTATAATAATTATTCTCTAAATCCACTCTATGAAAATCATTATCCCAACATAATAAGAGACCGTTATATATTGTCCAAAGTTTTACTTTGAGGCTTGAAACAAATCCACATGGTAAGCAAAGCCACAAATCCACCCCCAAGGCAAGTTACTACAATATGAAGACATCTCCCTTTTTCCTTCTAACTTTCAAGGTTGTGATTTTCTTCGAAAAAGCAACCATTTTAATATGACATAATGGTCCCTTGTTTGATAAAATAGTTAGCCTATAAATTAATTTTAGCTTATTTGACTATTATTAATTGTTTGATTTGGTTTTAAAAAATTAATATAAGTATTTGGTTAATTAGTTTTTTTGTACTCCAAAATACTAAAATTTAAAAAGTTACTCAAAATAATTTTTTCAATTAACTTTTTGAGAAAAATAATTATACCAAACAACTATCAGCTAAGCTAATTACCAAACACCTTTCTATGCACACTCTAGCCCCCACAATATAGTCCAACTCTCAATCTCCATCACTTGCCTTCTTTGGTACCGAGTACCAAGTTACCAACACATAAAGCCTCTTCACCATCTACTATTCTTGTCTCTTAGCACTCCCACGAGAGAACTATCTTTTTTTTTTTTTTTGATAGTAAACTGCTACATATATTAATTGATCAAAGCCGAAAGAAAGGTAGGGGGATGATCCTCCCATACCATAGAGTTTGCCTGTAACAAGGCTGACTGAGCTAACGAATGAGCTAACGAGAAAACTATCTTTTTCTTCTATTTTTCATTTATTTATCCAATCGGTAAAAAATTCATGAGAGAAGTATATACTCATCAAAAAGATTCTTAGAGCATCCTTAATAGTTGGAGATTCTTCCCCAAATTTTGGTGGGCCCTAACATCTACCTTATCATCTATTATCTTACTCAATCACAAAAACTTTTCTTCTCATTAATTTTAAATTTTTTCACAACCTTTTGTGGACCTACCATTTTATCTCCACATGTTAATTATTTTCCCAACAAATAAAAATTGAGGTCATCATGGTATTGATGAGATGAGTTGAGGAATCCCAGGCCACAGATTTGAAAACAGTGAAGCATCCAGCGGTGGGGTTGAAGACACTTTATGGAGTCACATCGAAGCTGACAAAATTTTTTATTTTGAGAAATCTTCAAAATCTCCCCTTTCCATTTGTGAAAAGCTTAGCAAAGGAAATTATACTGTTCAAAAATCCATCCAAAATATGATATTGGGATGCCCTTAGTATACAACCAATTAATCAGACATTGTTAGGGTTTGTCTCCAGCATTTTTCAATAATCAATTGTTGGTCCCCTGTGAAACTTGATGTAAGCATTGCATTATTTTTTTTCTTTTTCAAATAATGAAAATTGATGGCAAAAGAATCTAATGTCCGATCACTCAACTCCACTACACGACATTGGTATCACTGGGCACTAAAATTGCATTCTATATAGTGTGTGTAAGAGCCTCAAGCCATAGCCAACTCCCAAGCCATAACACAGCAAAAGGCAAATGGATCATAAGATGACCAATGAGAATGCATGCAAAATCCACATGAACGGTGGCGATGGCCCTGAAAGCTACACAAAGAGTTCTAAGTACCAGGTAGCATAAATTTATGAATTTTCTGGAAATTTTCATGACTTGTAATTAAGTTGATCATGTTTTTTTTTTTTTTTTTGTCTGCAGAAACAACTAATGAATTATTCAAAGCAGATCACCATTGAGCTAATTGAACAGCAGCTTGATGTCAAAAGCTCTTGCTTCGATCCCTCTAAACCGTTTCGAATGGCAGATTTTGGCTGTTCTATGGGACCAAACACGTTCATGGCAGTGCAGTACATTACTGAAGCAGTGCAACAAAAATACTGCAAGAAATGGCAGGAGGAATCTGGGATGATACCCGAGTTTCATATCTTCTTTAATGATCTTGCCGAGAATGATTTCAATGTTCTGTTCAGAAACATGCCTACTAACTGCCCTCGCCATTTTACTGCTGGGGTACCCGGTAAGGAACGCTATCTGATATCTCAGAAAGAAAGTTGGAATGAATGAAAGAATGATACTTTCTTGGATTTCATGTGTTCCAGGTTCCTTCCATGGCCGCCTTTTTCCAAAGGGCTCCCTGCATCTCGCGCACTGCTCTTGCGCGCTTATGTATCTCTCGAGGCTCCCTAAGGAAATCGTGGATAAAAACTCCCCTGCTTGGAACAAAGGCAGAATTCACTACAGCACCCCGGGAGCAGCAAAAGAAGTCAAGGAGGCGTATTCGGGTCAGTTCAGACAAGACGTGCTTACCTTTCTGGATGCACGGGGAGATGAACTTGTTCCCGGAGGTTTAATGGTGATCATAATAGTCGGGATTCCTGATGGCGTCCTTCCCTCCGAAAGTAGCATCAGTATGAATATCGCCATTCTCGGATCCTGCCTGCAGGACATGGTGAATATGGTAATTGCTGTATATTTGTAAACTCAAATGACAGTCTTTAATCTTATCTCAGACTCAAAACCTATCATATATATAGTTTTAAAGATACAGACAATCGATAATATGCAGGCAAGAATACCAGAAGAGGATTTCGATTCATTCAACCTTCCAATCTATCATACATCTCCTACAGAATTTGAAGCACTGATAAAAGAAAATGGATTGTTTGATATCATCAAGTCTGAGAGGTTACCTAATCCATTTACAAAGGAAACAGCAGCAGATGTTGAAAGAGGTATTTTATCCACAAGGGCTGTTTTCCAGGCACTAATCGAGGATCACTTCGGGAAAGACATCATAGAGGATTTCTTCAAACTTTACTCGAAAAAGCTAGCTGCAAATCCAATGTTGTTTCATGAGAAATATCGCCAAGAAGGCAGTTACTTTGTGTTTCTGAAGCGAAAAATTGCAGATTAGAAAACAGAAGTATATCATTGCATGCATAGACTGTAATAAGCAAACCTCGAAACATTTGACAATGGTTTGCTCAAATAAAGAAACAATGCAAGTAAAACTTAACTCGAGTTTCAAATATGATCGCTATGGCACTTGCCAAATATTGCCTGGTTTCAGTGACACAGTCTTCTCTGCATATGGCTTAACAGATGAATCCCAGAAAGATTACAGCTTTATACTATTTTTAAATAATAAATGACTTCACTTTATATAAATTTAAATCATAAGACCAAACAAACAAAAAAAATCTAGATATAAACAGCTAATAATAGTGATTATGTTATTTCCTTGTACAACAACATGTTAGATTTCACAAGACAAGATCAAGAAGTGGAGGGTACTCTATTGAAACGTCTGCAATTGCTAAATTAGAAGAATTTGCTTTTATATCACTCTTTCAGGAACGTGTCCTGATTGCTCATCACCTGAAGCCAATATGTACAATGAGATGATTTCGAACACATCCCAAAACTAGAATTAGCATAACCGGAACACAGTTCAATCCAAGTTTTTCGTGGCGTTGGCTCATAACGAGGATATGATACAGGTTGCTATTGTCAGTGAACACGACCAAGACGTGATTGAGGCTGCTGCAATGGTAATTCATTCTCTTCATCCTAGCAAACATAAAAGCAGGATTATATTCAATAACCTTCTTGTTCAGAAAATAACGAGAGAAATTGCCATACTAAACTCACATCAGTGTGTCTCCGTCGTCTGATTACAGTAAAAGCCTTCACCATGACATATATCGGCAATACAATTCCAATAGCTCTCAGAACCAATACCTGGGAAGAAAAAATAAGAAAAAGGAAGCACATTACACATAATTCCATACATTGATGCATGTAAATGGTATTACGTTTCTTTTCAAATAACCTAAAACTATATCACTTACTGTGAACAGTGTAATTGAGTAGTCTCCAGCTCCATAGATGATGATTGGTAGAGTATGACGTAATATCAGAAGCAGCATGAACTGCATAAACAGTAAAATAGGAAAGGAAAAAGACCTCTAATGAGAATAATGAGGACTTGATCTCATGGCAAGAGAAATTATGAAGTTATCTAATTCAATTAATAGTTGTGTGTGTGTGTGTGTGTGTGTGTGTGAGAGAGAGAGAGAGAGAGAGAGAGAGAGAGAGAGTACAATTATAGCTACTACTCGACAGCATATCAAACTCCTTGGAGTGTATCCAGAATACTCGTCATATTCTGGATCCATAAAATTGTGTTCTGTAGAAACCACTGTTATGAATTGAGGATTCTGAAGGTCTCTCCCAGAAATATACCAATTTTCTCTATAAAAAAAATAACAAACAAAGAAAAACATATAGCTCTTATCAGCTAAGGAAAAAGAAACCATAATAGAAGCAATTCAATGAACTTCAGTTAAATATATACCTTAAGTTCAATGGAATCCCACCATAATGAAATAAAGGAGGCGGCGCTGTAAAACCTGGCTTGAATTGCTGCAAATTCATGTTCAAACGAAACTAAAATTGGAACAAATATACTTTTAAAGGGTATACAGAATAGGAATAAAGGTGGAAGCTTTAAATTGTGTCGAAGTTGGGAACAAAATCTAAGCATTTTCTTGGATCAACCATGTTTAAAGACAGACCTGGTGGCAAATTTCACAGATTGTGTTCCCTTTCTCGTTACACCATCGCTGTGCACATCTGCGGTGGACATACTGCACACACAAAAGCTACATTAAGCTCTTGACCTAAACCCAAAGAGAGAACGTGTATAGTTGTGTGCCTCTAAATTCTAGAATATAGTTAATCATTATAATTTGTAATAGTAGCTTGAGGCCACAAAAAAATCAGGAATTTATTTACCTTCAAGCTTCCACGGCAAGAACATGGTATCTCCATGTTTAAATCTTCATCTTCATCATGGCAAATCCTACACTCTACCAATTTCCTTGGTGATGATCCTACATTGATATCCAACCTATGGGAACTAATACCACTACTCGTATTTTCAACATCAGTGGATGGAGCACGCTGCGAGAGGTTTTTACTCTGAATAGCAGCTTCAAGGGTGGACTCAGTTAGCAACCATCCCACCGGCAATGGAAAACGGTCTCCCATTCTTCAAACAAATACAAAGAATGGCTTTTGACAGGATCTTGGAAACTTGAAAAGATAAACCTAGACTTCTAAGCTGAATATTTGAGAGAAGTTCCAATCAATTACCCTGCATTCCAAAGTAAAAGTGCTATTAGCTGACATTCTGATAAGGTAAGAGGAAATTATGTTTTTTTTTTTCTTGAAGACAAAGAGGACATTATGTTGAGAAACAAGAAGGGTTCATAACCCTAACCAAGTTGGTCTAATAACCACAAAGTTCCAATGAGAACAACCTGGTTTGAATCGGTCAGCTATGAGCAACTAGACTGGTTTACCTCCTTGTAATTGTTTGTCAACAAGGTCACAATGCTGGGGGGTTCCTTCATGTAGTGGCTGCGGGTTTCTCTTGTTGCCCAAAAAGAAGGGTTCAAAAATACAAATTCTAAGAATCAAAATTAACCAAAGGGGAAGACTTTACACCCATGATCAGAGAAAAGGAATTAATAGCAGCTTTGTCAATTAGATACAGACAATAGAAAACAAAAGCACAAAAAAGAAGCACCTTTTTTGTCAATTAGATAGAGACAATAGAAAACAAAAAGTGAACATGGACATTTGAAGAAGTACAAATCTGGGCATTAAGGGAATACTTACAAGAAACTGGATTCGGATGGTATTTCTGCAAGAGAAGGAATGTAATCTCTATTCTAATTTCTAATCTATCCCAAACCTATCCGCTCACTCTTTCTTCATTCTTTGCTTATCTGCGACTTCGTTGCCATGTTTTTCTGAAAATGGGTCTCACTGTACTGCTCCCTCCCACCATTGATATTATTACCCAATCATATATACACAAAGATGTCTCCTTTCTTCACGTCTTCCCACTTTCCACAGAGAGAAGAAGTGGAGAGAGACTCCAACGAACGGCAAGGCACACCGCGCTTCTCCACTCGCTATCTTTCCCGATTTTAGCGTTCTAATTTCATTGGACGTGGAGTCTTCTTTGTCTTGATTTTCTCATGAGCTTTCTTGTGTTTTCGTGAGTTCATGGCGTGATTTTTGTGGGATTTTTTAGTTGGTAATTCATGAATCGTTGATGGGATGAGATTATGTCGGAGAGAAATGCCATGTGTAAAGAAAATTTAACGGAAAACAAAACAGCATTCCCGGCGTGAAAGTCTTCAATCTTGTACAACATGCAAATATAGTCCTAATATTGACCACCATTTTCTTTCTAAGAATGGAGACGACATTGTCGGGGTTACTACGAATGTTAGGTTAGATATGATATTATCCCGATTATGAAATTAATTTAATCTTTCAATGTTGGCAACCAAACCATGGGTTCCTCAATTTTACATGCTAACTTTACGTTACAAAGTGACTTCCCTCGGTGTTCATTTTTAATGATTTGAGAAGTAATTTTTTTTTTTTTACCGTTAATGATTTGTGAAGTGGTTTCAACCACGAGTGTAGCTATAATTTCATGAGTAGGAAATTATCTCAAAATGGTTTTCATCCTTTAATGATATGAGAAGTGGGGTTTTTTGTGAAGTAGTGCAACCATAATTTCATAGGTAGAAAATAATCCCAACATGAATGCCCAAGTGGTGAAACGTGATTTAGATATTTAAAATTCATGAATTTAATTCTTGTCAACACTCTTTTAGTCAAGTCTATTGCGCAGATTTTTTTAGTGAGGTTGATGAGTTTTTTTAAATGATTTGGCCAAACGTACCCAAGACTGACACTGGTTGAATAGTCTTGCACATTATCTGAGTTTCTATTTTCATTCTTCTATCTATTGACAATATCTCCATCGAACTGAATTGCATATCATAGTTTAGAGGGGTCTATTTTTTATTGTCATGTTTGTCACCCAAGATGAGATTCACATACGCCATGGCCAATTTTATCATTTCACGTTTTATGAAAAAGAACTCGTCAAGAAGCAAACGATAGGAAGAAACTCGTCAAAACAACGAGAGGAAAACACATAAACTGCAAACGAAATTAAACTAGTAAAACAAAGCAAATGAAAACAACAGTGTGAAAATAAGGGAGTAACGACCGGTAGCCATGGAGATGGAGGAGAAAACAGTGAAGGCAGAGAAGACAATGAAGGCGAACGCTGTCTACGGTGGAGATAGCAGCAGGGGAAGACAATCGGACGCCGCCTCCGATCTGCTTGCTTCACGGAGGCAGCGGCTGTGTAGAATACCAAAGACGAGAGAACTGTAGGAAACCTAGAGTTTTTATTTTTGAATTTTTTTACCATGAAATTAATGAGCTATTACATAAGAATAAAATTTTCCTAATACACACTCTAGAAAAGCAGTTGCTAATACAAAAATTGCCAATATTCCATCTGCTCTTTATTTCCTAGAGGAAAGCACTTAAAAACTTGAAGGATTACTGCAGATATGCAGATATGCAGATGCTTTCATCCTCAATCAAAAGCTCAGACTCAAATACACAGACAGACAATGCAACTCATCCCACAAATATTACACTGCAAGTAGTAGAAATATTATTACAAAGAATCGATTATATGGCGATAACAACACATCAGAGCCATATATATGTTGTCGAAACAGACCTCAAATTTAAGACAGCAGTAGTTTGAAATAGACAATCAGGTATATCGATAGAGACAACAACGCGAGCACATGTTGCCAGAACAGAAGTGCAGAGGCTTCACTGACCGAATAATTTCTGAGTCGAGCCACTGCTCCCAGCAGGATGGCAGTCGGAGTTGTGTACTGCAACAAGAGCACGAAACGGTACATTTGGTTGTCGGGGATCAAAATGTTCGCCTTATCAGCCAAAGTAACCACCCCGATTCCCAGCAACGGGAGCACCAGGAGTCTCGCAACGATGATTCCAACTGTGGTGCGAATGCCAAGTCTAGATTCATTAGGACCCTCGGCAAGCATTCCTCCCAGAATAAGCATTACTGAAGGAACCATAGCCTGAGCCATTATTTCCAGACTGTCGGTGAGGAAGGAAAGAGGCGCATCATCACCATAAACAAAGGATTTGACCGGTGGGATCATTCCGACGATAAAAGCTAATAATGTAGCAAACGTTGGGGGCTGGAGGACGTGCTGAATTGGGGTTCGCTCTGCAACAATTCTTATTTTTCTCACCACCCGTGGCTCCACCAAACATCGAATTGATTTCGGACTTGGAGGTGCTTCCTCCAAGAACTCGGGATCTGGGATAGAAATTTGTGACATACTAGCTGCACTAGTAAAAATCCTTGCAACGAATGGCGTCTTGCAATGTACAGTTTCGTTTTCTTCCATTCCAGGCCACTCGGCCTCCAGAAGAAGTGGTCTACTCAGATCATTCGCAGGTGGCAAATGTTCCTGAATCTCGAGACCTTCCTCAACAACTTCATAGTAGTCCAGCGGGGGCTCCATCATGTGATAAACAAGAGTATAAACAAGAAGCACCGCAATCCACTGGGAGAAAGATACATAAGCCACACCATTACTATGGCAATCTGGACCAAAAATATTATCCTCGCTATGACAAATCGATCCAACAATCGCAAGGGGCAGATTGCCCGTGTTCCCAAATGCAGTTGCAATAATTGTGAACCTGTTGAATTCTGGTGGCGTCCTGCATATCTTCGTCACCAGGTACCCCAACAAACAACCAATCGCAATACTTACAATCACATTCACCGGTATGAACCACCACCGCATAAAATTTTTGAGAGTAATAGCCTCCCCAAGGTGAATAAATATGGTACAAGGCAAGAATAGAGCAAAGACAAGCTTGCAGAGAAGCTTGAAAGTAGCTTTGGGAACAATTTTGGTCTTTGGGTGGGCCAGAATTAGACCAATTACTGTCAAACAAATAAGTTTCAACAGTGGCAAAATAGCATACACTAGATATGCATATGCTCCACCTTCTGTATAAGCAGCCATTTTCAAACAACCCAGCAAGCGATCCTGAAAATCCTCCTCACTCTAAAGTCTAAACCACTTAAATCCTAATCAAGATCAAATCTTTACAAAAATGGATCTCTAAAAAAACTTCACTTTATCAGATTGGGTCGCATCAAATAATCTAGAGACAGTACCAATCATCACCTGAAAGCTCGGTAAGTAAACCCTGGAAAATTTTCAGGAACCCAGATTTGATTCAAGAATAACAGCAGCAAAATTGAATTGAACACTAGAGATTACCACAATATAAACAGAAAAATATATAGCATGATTTAAAGAGAGCAAAATACAAGAAAGCAATACTTCTCTTATTGCAGAATTCTGGAACCAACTTCTCTTATGCGGATCCCATATTTTTATCTCTCTATATAAGTAAATATCTATATGTATCTAGAGAGAGACAGAGAGTAAGTAAATATCTATATGTATCTAGAGAGAGACAGAGAGTAAATGTAGTAGAACTCTATGCGAGTATGCAACCAAGGGGGGACCTGAACAATTGTAGTTGAGGATGAACAAGGCAAAGGACAGAGGTAAGATGAAAACGATGAAGTTTGATATTGTCGTAAGCCAAGCAGATGTGACAGAGTTGGTTGTATTCATAATTCATGTTTTGTCTTTTACCCCCCAAAAACAAATCATTATATATTTTCACTGCTCATGAGCCGCGAAAAGAGGTAAATCAAGAATATTCCGTTAGTCTTCAACCTTTTACATGGCATTTGGTTATACTCAATTCCATTCCCACTTAATTCCCACCTAATTGACGTTTGGTTAGAATGAGAGAATTACGTAAGAAAGGAATTGCAATTTCATGGGAGATAAATTACTGGGAATAAAGTGAAAATTTAAATTCCAGTGTTTAGTATACGGAAATAGAATTACTGGGAATTTTAATTTCAATGTTTGGTATACATGAGAATTGAAAGGGAATAACTAGTATAAAGTCTAAAATGCCAATAATTGTTGTGATATTAATTTTAGGTTAAAAAAAAAGAGGGATAATTTTGTCTCATCACTAGCTTTTTTTTCTTCCTAAAATCCTAGGAATTAAAATACCAGGGGGATATGGGATTTTAATTCCATGAAAATGGGGGAATTGCAATTCCTTCCAACCAAACTAAGGAATTTTATGGCATTTGGAATTAAGTGGGAAGGGAATTTAAACTCCCTCCAACCAAACGCCCTATAAAGATCATAAAATTTCTTAGTTTGGTTGGAAGGAATTACAATTTCCCCATTTTCATGAAATTAAAATCTCATACCTCTCGAGAATTTAATTCCTGAGATTTTAGGAAGAAAAAAAAAAACTAGTGATGAGACAAAATTATCCCTCTATTTTTTTAATCTAAAATTAATACCACAACAGTAGTGGACATTTTAGACTTTATACTATTTATTCCCTTTCAATTCCCATGTATACCAAACATTAGAATTGAAATTCCCAATAATTCTATTCCTGTAAACCAAACACTAAATTTAAATTCCCACTTTATTCCCAGTAATTCATCTCCCATGGAATTGCAATTCCTTTCCCACGTAATTCCCCCCTCCAACCAAACGCCTTCTTATTCATTGTTTATATATTTTTCACGCAAGAGTTTAATGATTAGTCGAACCAACCTGAACTAGTTCCGCTAAACATATTTTCCTATATTTATATCATAAGTAATAAAGGGGAATGCAAAATAATAATATTTTGTTTTAATTTCATACAAAAAAAAATCATCTCATTTATATTGCTATTTAAAAAGGAATACTAATACAAGGATCTTGTGGTCCAATGGTACCAATTTATATCCTACACCACGGTGCGTGTTGCACTATGCACCCAGATGCAAAACGACGTCGTTTTAATTTTGTTTTTTTTTTTGAAATTTCCCGCCCCAGTGAATGGTAGTAGTTTTTTCTTTAAAAAAAAACCCGTTGTTCAAGAATGTACATAATGTTATACTAAAATACACATAATGTTATACATGAATGTACATAATTATATAACAAAATATACATACTCTTTTTAAAAGATAATACACATAATCTAACATACATAATACATAATAAACATAAACTTTTAACATAATACACATCAACTCTTAACATAATACACACAAATTTTCTGATTCGGATGTACATAATTGTATAAAAAGAATGTACATAATTGTATAAAAAATACACATAACTGTATGAACCAATACACATAACGTTGTGAACAAATACACATAACGTTGTGAACAAATACACATAATCTCAGCAACTTCCTACCGCGTCTCCCAACACTACCCCAAAACGACGTCGTTTTGGGAGGCGCGCGCGCACAGTGCTATGTGCGCCGTGGTGTAGATATAACGATTGTACCAAGTTGCTCCCTTATGTGGGATGTGATGAATTCAAGTAGAGTAGTACTTAGGTAGAGTAGAGTAGTATATATATATATATATATATATATATATATATATATATATATATATATATATATATATCCTTGATATTTCATGTACTATTGTAAAATAACATTTTAATATTATATCGTTTGATAGCGATTTAACTCAGGCCACCACTTATATAATAACAAAGTTTAGTTATTTGACTACAATATTCTTTTGTTGTTTTTTTTTTTTTTAATCTTAAATTGTATTAAAAAATCATAATATTTGAATATAATGCCTGGTATAAGTAATAATTTCTTGATGGAAATGACTGTTTGATTGGATAAATGGATAGAGAAATTTTCTCAAAGAAAAAAAAAAGGATAGAGAAATAGCATGTAGTAATTAAGACGTGAAAGATACTAGAAGTGATACTGACAAATTAAAGGTAGAAGACGTGAATGATTGAGGTAGCAACGCACATGCACCATCAATCATCACTATCAAATTTGTTGCATATGCCACAAAAGGTATTCACACATGGGTAGAACGATATTCTCATACTAAAACATCATGTATTTGATAAAATATTTAGCTTATGATTTAATTTTGTTTTATTTAATTATTATTAGCTATTTAACTTTATTAAATTGTTAATATAAGTATTTGATTAATTAATTTTTTAAACAATGTATTGTTTCAAAATGTTGAAATTCAAAAAGTTACTTAAATTAAAGTAGCTTTTTTGATCATGCATCTTTTTGATAAAGTCATTTTGTATGTAATTAATTATCAGTTAACATCCAATTTACCAAATATCTTTCTACAATCAACTAATGATATCAACTAGACAAACTCACTAACACAACCAGCTAACAACTATTTATCAAACACTCCCAATATCTTTTCGATTGATCAAATTTATTGTAAAAAGTCTTCTAAATATGATTTTTTGTGTGTGTGATTTATATATTATTACATAATAGTTAGATTTATCTGATACATATATTCAGGTAATAGTTAAATTGTTCCACATGGCATATTCAAAAAAAATTAATGAAATAAAAAGTAATACAAATAATTGTGTAATCATGAAACTAAGTAGAACAGTTAACCTGAGGAGTGGTTGAGTGGAAGTGACTTATCCATTATTAACTAAAGGTCAAGGGTCCAAACCTTAGCTTTGATACAGAGTAATCTTAAATCTCCAACTGTCCCACCCGATATAGGAAAAAAAGCACCATAAATATATACATTTCGAATTTTGACATTTTAATTATTTAAAATGTCATCTCAATATAGGAAAAAAAAAGCGCCATAAATATATACATTTTGATTATTATTTTATTTCGAATTTTGGGATTTTAATTATTTAAAATGTCATTCTTGTTATAGGTATGTTCGATATATATTTTGCAGATTAAATTTGTGGTCTAAATGTTGTTATATATAGGTCTACAAAATTTGAATGCTAAAATTTGGTTTGTTTTGAATTCAAATGATGGAGATAAAGCTTGAACTCACAACCTTTCAAATTGAAGTCCAACTCAAGTACCATTAGACCACATAGTCTTGGTAATGGGACTATGTTTTGATTTCTTTGTTTTTCAGTTTGTGTTTGTTTGATACCGGGTGATTATAATTTTTAGGAATAAGGGTTAAATAGGCCGCCCAACTGCACACCAAAGTGCAATTAGGCCGTTGAACTAAAAAAGAATGCAATTGAGTCATTGAACAACACAAAAAATGCAATTTAGCCCAAAATGATATGTTTACCTGGTGTAACAAGTTACCGATTTTAAAATTAATTTTTTAAAATAATTTTTAATAAATAAATAATTAAAATATTAATTAAAAAAACATAAACTACCCGCCGGAGACGATTCGTCTCCGGCCGGCTACGTCTCCGTGGCCGGAGACGGCCCTCCGTCTCCAGCCATGGAGACAAAGACCTTCGTCTACGCGGTGTATAATAGATTCATCTTTTTCCAAGCCGGTAAAAGCAGCATATATTACTACTATATTTAAATTGGTCCTTCCGTGTGACAATCCTAAACATCATTGTCTTCCCAATCAAGCTTCAATTTCATTGGGAATGCAACCATCCTAGGTCAACAAAAACAAAAAACAAATATTATACACGGGATAATATTAATACATTCAAAGTCTAATAGTTGATTGCTAAGATATATGGATTCACGTACTTCAAAATACTTTTCCAACAACTCGCTAGCAGTAACTCATAATAGTGTCGAGCAAACATTGTCCCAAAGTAAAAGAGGACCATCCTAGTCATCATCCAGGACAACAATCACCACTTTGTACTTAGTTATTCCGTCTAGCCAGTGTTTATCACATGCCTTACAGTACACTTTGTCCGTATAGTCTTGAAGCTTCTTCCCACACCCCTTACTCTTATAGGTCTTGAAGTACCATTCGCTTTCTATGTCTAGAATTTCTCCAAGAAATTCACCGACCTAAAAATTAATTACACAATACGTGAGAAATATAATGAGTGAATTTTTAAATGATTTCAATACAAACTCTAAACCTATGATTTACCTTCTTGTTGTCATAAATATCCTTCAAAGAAGTAATTGTGACATTTTCACTCGATAAAGCTTCCAATGATCTAGATCTAGTCATTCTTGAACTTGAGGTTATACTTTGTATTGGAGTCAAGAACCTAGTCATATTGATTTAAACAGATTATCCCAAATCATCAAACATGTTTGAAATAAAATATGATACGGAGTGGAAAAAATTGAACTGGTTTTACACAGCTGTAATATAACGATAAGTGGATCAGCCAAATCAGCATCATAGTAAGGTAACATAGAATCTACGTGCTCGCCCCACAAGGTAATCGTGAGCTGACTCCCCTGAGTGAAAATAACAATGAACGTGATAACACCTAAATTTATACTTAAAAAAGTCAAACGACCATCTAAACAAATATATACCGAGAATCTTCAATGACAAAATCAATCAACCTTTCGGGATTTGAATTAACTTGGATAACTTTTGGCTCAGTAATGGAAACTACACGGCAAATCAAATATGCAAAAGTCAAACAAAAGATTGTAAATTGTCATTCATGAATGTACTATTAGAAATTTAGTATAACAAAAAGAAATGAGAACACATCTAGTATAGAACAAAATTTAAAGAAGAATTTACCAATTTACCGATTGCTATCCACTCCTCCAGGACCCTTCAACGATCCAAAATCCTTGAGTTTGAACATGCGTTTGGGAAAATCATATTCATCTAGATTCATAACGCTAATCAAAGTGTCGTGGTTTGCTTTCATAATGTACTTATGTTCGCACGACTTAAACCTCATGCGGCACGTTTGCACAACGAAATTGTGAATATCATAGACTTCCCCTTCCTTCAAGAGTTTGTTGAATTTAATGATAAACTCTTTGGGGATTTGTAAATGGATGCAAGTTCCCTAAGAAAGATTATGCCATTGTAGAATAGTGCATGTAAAGAGGAATTAGTGGCCATGAAATTTAAAAACCAAGCTAGCAAACATAATGCATTTTAAAATAAGCAATAACTGTATATTAGCGTAGAAACAGTATAGCTGAGGTGGCATGCGGCATGCCATTTTATCAATATTATGTAATTCTGAATACTATACCAAGTAATGCTCTCCAGGTGCAAATATCAAATGAGGTCGAGTGCCCAATTTGAATTTAAATATGACTACGAAGTTGTTCACTACATAATGCCAAGCAGAACTAAATTCGGCCAAGATATAGACACAAACTTTTTTTCCAAATTCATATACACTTTGTCATGCGCGTTTTTGTTATGCCGTTTATTTTTAATAATGTTTAATTTTGTATAACTGCACTATAAAATCAAGTTGTTTGACCTAGGAGTCATGGAGTAAGCACTCTAGTGTCTGTTGTTGGTTGACTGTAAAACTTGGATATTTCATTGACAAATAAGAATGCATCAGCCGGAGCCAGCTTTTTCTCGTCTTGGGGGATAAGTCGGAAGCAGAGAAAAAACAGACCCCATTAGTGAAAGAACAATATTGTTGGAACGCACGGATTATAAAATCTCGAATCGTATGGGCAGATTATAAGATTTCTTGTATTTGTAGTGTCAGATTTATTTGTCTGTTCAAAGTGTTGGAACACACAGAGTATTATAGCAGTGTTTTAATAAAAGTATTGATATTGTCATATTGTATTACGAATAGGATTTTAATGTAGAATTATAGTACGAATAGGAAAGTAGGTATATGTGTGTTTTAATATTGTCCTATTATATTACAAATAGGAATTTTAATGTAGAATTATAGTACGAATAGAAAAGTAGGAAATAATATATTCTATTAGGAATTGTATTACACTATTTTACAATATTAGAATAGGAATTTTAATGTAGAATTATAGTACGAATAGGAAAGTAGAAAACAATATATTAAAATTTGAGAATTTTGGGCGGAAAGTTAAGTTGGGGATTTTGTTTTTTATATATAGTATAGATTTGTTATGTTTCTTATTTCGTCATAAATATTTTCACATTTTCACATTTTCACCTCACTCAAGTATATATTTGGTTCCGGCTCTAACTATCGTGTAACCTATCAAAAATATTATATTATAATTTATAATGTATTTTGTATTTTAACCTTACTAGTATTTTCACCCGTGCGATGCACGGAATGAATTTATTGTAATATATTAAGAATATTTGAATCAATATATAATTATTTAAATTAGAACATCAAATACTATATAGTGCAATTAAAGATACGGTTTGGATCGTTTATGTATTTTGATGTTATCACTTATCATTGCTTGAATTTGTGCAAATAATTGCTCAAATTAATAGCTAATGTCTAGATGTACGCATGCAGTGCTATAACTTTGAAGATTTTATTTATCATTATTTAGTAATTTCATAAATTAGGCAAATGTGCTCGTTCTCTAACACTCAGTTATAGGAATGAGTTGTTATCCTAATTCATTTGTATGGAAGATATATTTTTTGTCTAGATATATAACAATTTTTCCATTAAAAAAAACATAATCTCGCCGATTATATTTACACATTATTGAAACCTTGAAGACGACATGAGTAGTGACAACACTATCTTGTCCATCCTCGTCTAGAGCTAACACCTTCAATCCATCTAGACGGGTTACTCGGGTGAAAATATATAATAGTAGAATATCACTCAATTAGTACAGTGATCCTTTTTATATTTTCAGTCAATTAGTAATATCAGATTCATTTTCAACCAATTATTCTTTTTTATTTTCAGTCAATTAGAATATCAAATGCAGTGATATTTTTACCTAATTTCCGTTCAATTTTTAATTGATTGTGTAGATATTATTATTGAAATATTTCTGTTTTCCATTTTTAATTTACCTTTACTATTGTTTAAAATATGCATTTACTATTGATAATGTAGAATATTATTATTGAAATATTTTCGTCCAATTTTTAATTTTCGTTCCATTTTTAATTAAAATGCAATGATATGACCATTTTTTAGTCAATTATGGATCATTTTTATTTGCAATCAATTATTAATATTTATTTCCTTTTATATTTTTAGTCAATTAGTAATATTAGATTCATTTTTAGTCAATTATTCTTTTTTATTTTCAGACAATTAGTCAATTAAAATATAGATGCAATGATATTTTTACCTAATTTCTGTTCCATTTTTATTTGATAATGTAGAATATTATTATTGAAATATTTCCGTTTCATTTTTAATTTTTCGTTCCATTTTTAATTTACCTTTACTATTTTTTAAAATATACATTTACTATATACTATTGATGATTTAGAATATTATTATTGAAATATTTCCTTTGCATTTTTAATTTTCCTTTACTTGATGATATAGAATATCATTATTGAAATATTTCGGTACCATTTTTAATTTCTGTTCCATTGTTTGAAATTGTGAAAGATTTATGATATAATTGTGATTTGATTTATTCTACGGTGTAATATTATTGTGAAAAATTAAAATGCAATAATTTGACCATTTCGTTTTCATTGTAGTCAACTATAGATCTTTTTTTTTCCGTCAATTATTAATATTCATTTCCTTTTCCAATTAACCTAATTTCCATTCATTTTTTCATTTTTAATTTTCATTCAAATATGAATATTTATTTCATTTTCCAATTTACATAATTCTCGTTCCATTTTTAATTGATGATGTAGAATATTGACATATTTCTATTCCTTTTTTTAGTCTGCGTTCCTTTTTTTAATTTACCTTTACTATTTACTATTGTTTGGGATGGAAATCAAGTAAATAGGATTTTATTTTTGATTATAGTATAAATTATGCATGTTTGAGATTTTGTAATTGACATTTCTATTGTCATTTAAACTTTCATTCCCACTCAAATAATTTTCTGACTCCGTCCTTAAAGGTATATTGTCAGTATTCTCAGTAACATACAAAGAGTTATTACTGTTATAAATATTATATATGTGGACATTATTATATATATGGTAGTAGTTGTAACTGATAAAGTTACTACCTTTTATATGTATTCATTACCTTATATTTGTAATACCTTTGTATAAGTATTTGATATGATGAATGAGAATGATAACCTTTCCTCTCCTCTCTTTGTCTATTCTAATATTCTTACAACACGTTATCAGCACCCGATGCTTTACCGAAAGAATTATCGAGTCTGATTTCCTCTACCGTGACACTAATCTCCGGATTAGTGTCGAGGAGGCGAGATCATCCAGACGCGGACGCCGTTGTGGATCCCGTAGCCTCCCGCCTCATCCGTCGCGCTAATCAAACTTCGCGGTCATCACCGATCGTAAATCTTGAGGCCTGCCGCAATGGAGACTTCTCGCAATCCGATCGGCGAGTCAACGATTGGAAGATGCAGAACTTCTGATCTGATTTCTCTCTCGTTGGATCTTCCTGAGATCAACACTCCGGGATCTTGAGGAATAGATCTCGCAGCGCGGTTTCTAATACAGAACACAGACACTACCAGCCATTGCCGCTGTCGCCAAGAAGAACCAGCCACCGCCGTCTGCCACCCCATTATCGCCACTGAGAGTTTCAACCTGGAAATCCAGAACCGAAAATGCTCTAGCGATTTTGAGAGAAAAGGATGATCTGGATGGACTGATCGCTGATCAGCCGCAGGCGGCTCTTCGGATCATTGCTGCGCGGTCGGCAAGTTTCAGGCGTGAATAAGAGGCGGACAAAGGAACAGCGTCAACACCGACGCCGTCCGTTCCATTCTCCATTGACCAGCCCAATACAATTGGTCGTCTTGCAGATACGTACAATTCCCTCTCACTTCATATTTATTCCTATGTGTGCATATACATAGATAGTATGCATGTGTATGTATATATGCAGTAGTATGTCTGTGTGTGCATATATATATAGTCCTTTGCGACAAATTCCATCTAGTGGCAGCGCTAATTACATTCTAGGCACTGGGAAGCAAGTGTGCGATAGCTTCGATTTTTCCCGGCGATGGATCACTACTGTTTTTTTTCTCCTTACCTTCACTCCTTGTTAATGCTAATATATCCACGTATTTGGTGTGATCTCATGGCTTTGAAAAAAAGATACAGTTAGTGATTTAATTAATATACTTGCTATTTATATTATTTTGTGATTAATATTTGGAGGTTAATGTTGCCTTGCCTTATATTATCAAATGCTTGAAATGCTATGTTGTCTGGGTACATGCAAAACGGAATGAAAACTTATGGGTCAAACAAATCTGTATTGTGTACATATGTATGTGCATGCGTTACCCCTCATCTTTTATATGAGGCTATAGGCTAATCATGGTCCCTTATTTTGGTGTTAATCACACTGCTAATTTGGTTCATTTTGGACCCTCGCTGAAAAATTTTGATCGGTTCAGCTTAGAAAATTAAATTCGTGAAAAATACTTTTTGAACTCCTTTTGGCCTGAATTTTTTTCTGGAGAACTTAGACTTGTGGTATTTGATGTCTGTAAAAAGATTTTGTTAAAAATATGCTTTGGTTGTACTAGAAAAATTATGTAAAGTTCTGGCAGTACAGTTAAGTTTTCTGCCTGGCGCAGTGTTGAAATTTTTTTTAGGAAAAATACTTCTAGACCTTGGATTGGCATGAAAATTTTCATGTACGTTCTAGACTTGCTGAACTACATATCTGAAAAATTTTGTGCCAAAATGTGTTACCGTTTTTCTCTAGAAAATTCTGCAAACCAAGTCAAAATTCTGAAATTTTCTGCCGGTTTCAGCTTGTATGTCTTGCTATTTGTGTTGTTAATCGTAACTGACTTCAACCTTCATATTTGTGTTGCCAATGAGGAATCAATTTTTAGTGGAACTCTCTATTGGTTCTAGCCATACTCATGCTGCCAATACCAACTGATTAGCATATATCTCAATATGGTGAATGGGTTTTGTAATCCCATTATTGTCTAAGCTACTCTGTATATTGCACTGGTACCAAGTGAAAATGCATGCCATTCAACCATGGCAAAAATGTTTGAACTTCAAAGTGAAGAAAATGAATGACTGTTTGTCACTTCAACTGCTAGTCCCTTGTTGGGTGTAACTCTGACTGACAACGATTCACAAACTACTGATTTCAAATTCTAGATTCTACTATTGAGAGATTATTCTAAGCCACTGCAGGATACATAGTTCTGTGGATCTGAAATCATATTGCACTGGATGAATGGTACTTCTCTCATTTTATTTTCTAATTTATGAATTAATAGAATCTCTCTTGTCATGTCACGCATTGTGTGTACCACACATGATACTCTTTGTTTAAAGTGGATGTGCATGACTTAATTGAGATTTTGATGTTCTAGACATAAGGGACATTTATATCCATATTGAATATGCTTCTCTTTAATTGACAACATTTAGCATATAATCTCTTGATTAGGCTCATAGAAGAGAATTTGTTCTCTTGTTGGCAATTAATTATTTGCTATAGGCCATAGCTATTGTGATTTATCACGCAATGTATAAGTGAGACAATAACATGAATTCTCAATATGGTTTTCATTGTTAGGTTGCACCTGCCGTTGCTAAACCTTAATTTGATCTTGTGATATCAATTATATGATGAGTCTAAATATTGTGATACATAGCATAAATATTGAATATAGCTTTGCTCAGAAGGCGAATTTATTGCACTAATTATATGATAGCACCAGGACAAATTCCCCAAAT